ATTTTGATTTTTGTTTTGTTTTTACTTTTCTTGATACAGGATCTCACCGTGTAGTTCAGGTTGGCCTTGAACTCACTATGCAAGTCACGCTAGCCTCAAACTTGTGGCAATCCTCCTACCTCAGCCTTGCAAGTGCTGGGATTATAGTCATGTGCCCCTACACCCAGTTTATTTCCATTTTTGATTATGTGTTAATAGAAACATTTGTGCATGTGTATGTAGGTGTGTGTGTGTCCAGGGATTGAACCCAGAGCTTTCGTACTAAGCTATGTCCCCAACCTTTTTTATTTTTTATAGTGAGACAGGGTTTCCCTATGTCACCCAGTATGAATTTGGACTTTAAATCCTCCTACTTCAGCCTCCCAGAATGCTGGAATTATAGGCATGTGCCACCATGCCTGGCTTACGGTTGATTTTTCTACATCAATCTTGTATCTTGCTAACTTGCTGAACTCACTTATCAATTCTAGTAGCTCTTTTGGGAATTCCATCATATTTTCTACTTAATCACACCATCTTTGAATAAAGACAGTTTTATCATTTCCTTTCCTTGTCTCACGGTGCTGGCTAGAACATCCAGTAGAATGCTAACAAGTGATTAATGTGGACATCTTTGCTTTGGTCCCTATCTCAAGGGGAAAGCATCTGCTATCTCACTGTTAAGCATATTGTTTGCTGTAGGGTTTGTGTAAAGGTTATCAGGTTGAGATCATTCCATTCTATTCATAGTCTTCTGAGATGTGTATCATATTAATCTGTAGCAGTCACTTCCAAGTCCTCGTTTCAGTCCAAGAAGCCAATATTTGTAATCCCAAAGTTACGTTATTGGAATCCCATCAAGTTAATTCCAATCTACCACTCCCAGTGTAACCCACGGCAAAAGGAAAGACACTAAAACATATTTATAATTATTGGGGAACCAAGGGGCCCTAAGTCCAGCCATGAAGATGGCTTTCTGGAACCAAGAGAGCGACCCAGGGCCTCACCTGGTTTTTATTCAGTGGAGGAGTGGCTTGAGGATTGACTGAGAATTGTGGGAAGTAGGTGACTACTGTGAGCTGAGCTAGGTGGGTGGTCTACATTTACCTCTGCCATATGTAGAGAGGCTATGCAGAGACAGTAATCTGCTTTATGCTGTTGCGATAGTATCTAATGTTTTGGAGGGTCTGGTACTTCAGCTTTGATGTAGTCTTTCAAGCCCCAGGAAGTCATAGCCTCTGTCTCGAGGCTTGATCCCAGCTGGCGGCACAGAGCATTGGCTCTTCGTCTTGTCTCGACCCAGCTCACACTAAGGAGCAGCAGGTGTAGGTTATCAGGGAAACACACACACCACCTTTAAAGCCTATCACAGGCACCTCAGCTAGACCAATATACATTGCTTAAGGCCAACTGAAGGATAAACAGAAGTCCTAGCCAGCTCTGTACATAACAATATGAGGAAATAGGGTCAGGCTTAGTCAAAAATGGAGACAGTTGCTCTTCTTTTAAGAAGAGCTATTCAGGTGGTCCTCCACATTAATCATTAGAAAAGCCCAGATAAAATGAAAGTAAGCTACCACTGCAGAGCTACTAGATTGGCTAAAATTGAAAAGATCAATCCTGTAAAGTACTGGTAAGGATGCAGGGCAACTAGAACTCACTCTCTGCCAGTGCTCGTGTGGTATGGCCATTTTGTGATTTTTTTTTTAATTTGTGTTTCTTTTTTTCTTCCTTTTCCTTTCTTTTCTGATTGGATTTTTGGTTGGTTGGTTGGTTGCCTTTGGATATCTGCAGTACTAGGGATCCAACCCAAGGCCTTATGCACATGCTAGGCAAGCACCGTACCACAGAGTTACACCTCCTGTCTACCCCTGCCCCACTTTTTGCCCCTGAGAGTTTAAACTGAAGATTTTTATAGGTAAGTGGATACAACTGGAGACCACACTGTTAAGTGAAATAAAGCAGACACACATGTATATGCATTATATTGTCTCCCTAGTGTGGGAAACTGAAAAAGTAAATAAGATCCAAAATGTACCAGAGATATCATGAAATGAAAATAGACTTCAAAAGGAAAAGAGAATCGGGGATAGGAAAATGGAGAAAAGGAAGGAAAAAGATATAGATATATAGATATACAGATGCATACAGATAAAGGACAGTTAAGATAGTTATACTACTAATTTCTCTTAGTTCATTGATTTTATTTATTTAATTTATTTTTTTGTACCAGAAATTGGACTTAGGACTCTGCGTTTGCCAGGCAGGTGCTTGTGCTACTGTGCTGTATCCCCGGCTCTCTTAGCTCACTGAAAAGAAAGTTTGTGCTAACATTGTTTGGACAATTAAATTAGTTACTCTTGGGCTGGGGCTCCCTAGAAAGTACAGGGTCCCAAGTTTAATCCCGGGCACCACATGACTCTGCCCTCAGGCTCCCCGAGCCACCAAGATTGGGCATGGCGGCACACGCCTGTAATCCCAGCGCTGGGGAGGCTGAAACCAGAGGTCCACTATGAGTTGGAGATGTGTAGTAAGACCCTGTACCAAATACATTTAAAAGAAAAAAAAAAAAAAGAGAGAGAGATAAATTGGTTTCTCTTACTCTAATTTAAAGATAACAATATGTATTAACCATTGTTACCCTATTAATCTTGTTTTGAAATTTTTTTCTCTTTAAAATTAAAAAAAAGAAATTCCAAAAAATATTCACTTAAGAGCATGTATAGGAGTGCTCATAGCTCCTTTGTCTTACCCACACATTGCAAATAGCCCAGATATCCATTAACAAGTAAACAAGTCTGATGTATTCATTCCTCATGGAGCAATAAAAAGGAATTAATTATTGATATCTGTAATAACACAGACAAATCTCAAAATAATTATGCTAAATAAAAGAAACCAGACCAAAATTTAAAAAAGAAAGAAAGAAAGAAAGAAAGAAAGAAAGAAAGAAAGAAAGAAAGAAAGAGAACAATCAAATCCTAAGACAATGTTAGTATTACAAAGCCTTGCTGGTCTGCCCTGGGTGCCCAGGAAAGGTGAGCAGAATGAGACAGCACTACGGAAGCCAGCTGGGATCAGAAGTTGCACGCTCCTCACTCCCACCCCACCCCTACCCCATCCCCACCCCCGTGAGGCTGTGACTGGCTTCCAGGCCAGTGCCTGTGCCTCCCTCCTCCTCACAGCAGGAGCAGAGCCTTAGGAACATGCCAGGCCTCCAATGGGTTGAGTCAGAAACAAAGTGGACAAAAAAGCCAACCCATCTGCTTTTCAGCAACCCCGACTCCTTAGTCCCTGCACTTCTTACTTGGAGACCTAAGAAGGCCTCCTACTGGCCCTCCAGTAGCCTCAACCCTGACCCACCAACACTCTGCCTCCTAAAAGTACCTCTCTCTCAGCTCCAAAGCCCTCTCTGACCCCTTAGACCTTGCCCCACCTTGTGCCATGCCCGAGTGACTGGTGACACCTGGCTGCCTGTGTCTAAGGAGCTCCCTGAGGCCACAAAGTGTGACTCAGCAGCTCTCCCCCAGCGCTCACAAGGTGCTTGGGTCACACACTTTATTAAGGGAGTGGTTTCTTCTCGACCAAAAAAAAAAAAAAAAAAAAAAATGCCAGAGTTCAGGTCCAAATAAGGGTGTTCCATGAAGTGGCTGCCCAGCAGGGGTGCAGGTGGAGACAGAGCACACAGCCACTGGCGCCTAAGGCTGAGCATGGCTTCCCAGCGAGACGAACTGCAGCCACGCTCACTCCAGCTCTCTCACGTAATAACTGCTGGCTGGTCCCAGATGGGCACGTTATATAACAAGCTCTCCAAATCTGTTCATGAAACTTTAAGTTGGAATGACCGTTAGGAGTGTAGAAACACTAGCCTACAGGTGTTTTGATTGTCAGCTCTGCTTTTGTCTTGGTTGGGCACCTTCATGAGAGGTCCTCACTGTAGGTCACAGACTAGTTGCTCTGGGGGTCCCTATAGACTCCAAGGCTTGGAATCAGGGTTCCTTTCAGTGTCACAGGGATGGACCTGCCACAGTCTCCCCCTGACTGCTTTAAATTCACCTCAAGTGTGACCCAAAGACTTCACCTTCCATTTTGGGGGACACAGACCCATTGGCTTTGGCTCATCTCCACAGCTGGCGCTACTCCCGACTCCCAGGTAGTGCCCCTGGGACACAGGTCAAGCCCGCAGCACCACAAAATTCCAGCCACCTTCCCTCCAGCCTCACAGTCCTCTGGGGCACTGACCTGAGCTTCCCGTGGTACACTCTGTCTCTCCTCTAGACAGTCCTTTGAGGAATGGCCTGTGTCCTGCTCACCTTTGTGTCCTCAGTGCCTTGTGCCCAGTAAGGATGGTGGCAGCAGGGGAGGAGAGGATTTGGGTGAGGATGTGCCAAGTTTAGTTTGGACCAGGCTGAACCATTAATTTCTGCAGCTGTCCCCTTTGCAGTAAGAACTGACAGAATTTGTGGGAAGAAAATGACAGTAGGACCAAAGGGTGGGGGTGCTTAGCCTTGGTCTAGAGGTGGCAAGGAGCCATGGGACTTTGTGCCACCCTTGCAGGAGGTGGCAAAAGGGGCCAGACAGGCGTCAGGAGGCCTCATTCCACTCAGCACTGACAGTTATTAACCCTCTGACCCTGGGTAAGTTGTTTCACTTCTCTGAGTTCTTGGCATCTGCTAGATGCACATGAAAACACTTCCTTGCCCACTTCACAAGGTACCTGTGAAGGAATCTGCAAATTATAAAAAGCCATACAAATAAAAGAGACACTCACTGGTGACACTTTCCATGTTACCCTGAGCCGCTATTCCTGGGACTGCCCCAGAGAGCAAAGCCCTCAGACTCTAGTCCCACCTCTGACACGAGCAGGCCTGTCATCTGTGGGGTGCACAGGTCAACCTCTCTGGGACACCCTCCAGCCAGGCACAAGGTAAAGCAGAGACCCGAGGCCACTGCGACACCCGAGGGCCCTTCTGAGCCCCACAACAGGGTTGTCAGGGAAACAAGAGACTTCCAGCCCCAAGCATGCGCTACAGTGAGGTTTATTATCAAGCACACTGGGGAACCCCAAACCAGGGGCTGAACACACCCAGACAGGAAGATGAGGCTGGCACAGGCCAACAGTCTGGCACCAATGGAGGTGGTGATGTTCCTGCTTTGAGCACAGCTCATTCACCTCCTTTGTCCTTTGAGCATCCTGCTGAAGACAGAGGGAACCTCTCCACAGAGAAGACAGACTCCTCAGAGCTTTCCTGATTTACCTGACATGTTTCAGCCCCCTGGAGCCCAGATATCTAGACCAAAGCACTCTGTCCACCTCCCCCTGTCAGTAAGGACTGGACCTGGGGCTCCACAGAGTCAGCCTCAGTCTGGCCCAGCAGCTCCTGCGCATTCCTGGAACCTGACTCAGAGTCTAGAGCGGATGAATGCCAGCAGGTTCTCCAACTGCTCCTCCAGTTGCTGCTCATCTCCATGATTCTCAATAACCCAGTCAAAGCCCCCAAAGTTGTCCAGGCCACACTCTGATTCGGCATCATCCACCCCTATTGAAAGAGACACAGTGAAGTCAGGCCCAGCCCACCAGAGGAACCCATGTCTGTGAGACCCTTCTTCCCTGAAGGCCTTGTGGAGGAGCCCAGCTCCTCCTCATATTCTCTGTGGCCCCAGGAGTGAGACTTAACCTCTCTGGACCAGTGCCCTCATGGGCCACAGGCACAAGAACAGTGGCATCCATGCAGTGGCAGCTATGGTGTGACAGCAAGGCCAGCTGATGTGAAGTGCTGGACACAGTCCACCCGCCATCAGCCCCCACCAGACTGGACAGCAGAGGGGAAGGGCCTGGAGTGCATCCTAGTCAGCCCTCTAGAGAAGCATACTCCCCTTAGAAGACATCCCAGGAAGGCAGACCGGGCCAGGGGCACAGGGGACCCTAACCTTCCAAACCACCTTCTGCCAAACCCACTCCCTAATCTGGGGACCCGGCACTCCTAGGCCCTGGGCCTCAGATGCCCCTCTGTGCCCTTCCTTTGCTCAGTCGCAAACCTGCTAGGAAGCAGACAGGTGTGTGTGTCCTGAGCCTTGGGGGTGCACACCCTGAGCAGCTCACCTGGCATGAACACCCAGCCCCGCTGCTGTCTGCTCTCCACCGAGGCCATGATGCGGACCGTCTGCATCACAGCACCATAGGCTTCTTGAAACCACTGGATATCAGACACCCGTCGTGTGTCACTCACCAGCTGCAAGGGAAGAACACAGGTAACCAACAAGACAGGTGAGGGGAAAGAAGGCTACAGAAGCCAGCAAACCTGGCATTGGGTGCACCCCTACCACCCCAGTGCTTGGAGGCTGAGGCAGGAGAACCTCCATGAATTTGAAGCAGGCTTGCACTACATAGTGAGTACAAGCCGAGCCTGAACTACATAGTGAGGCCCAGTCTCAAAAAAATAAATAAATAAATAAATTTAAATAAATACCAGAAGCCATAACAGCGGTGCAGTTCCACCCCTACTGTGTGCCAACTACCTGCCAGACAAAGCATTTGTCCAATCAAATCACCAAATGAGGTTACCTGCTGAGTGCTGCCCCGAAGCAGGCGCGAAGGAGAGAGTGGTGAGCACAGTGTCCTTGTCCTGAGCCCCAGGAGCTTACAATGCAATGGGACAGACTTGTGCTACACAGCAGCTTCCCAACTTACGTGGGGACCACAGCGCAGACTGGCAGCGCCTCAGTCTCCATGCAGCTAGCCTGGTCCTGATGTTCTCTTCAGTCTTTCTTTTCTTTTTTTTTTTTTTAAATATTTATTTTTATTTATTACATTTATTTATTGTGTGTGTGTGTGTGTGGCCAGCTCAGCCCACCAGGGGGCGGGGCTGGCTGGCATGTGGTGCTGGAGGATCGAACCAAGGTCCCTATGTTTTGCCAAGCTTGTTTCAAGTAGGTGCTTTAGACCACTGAGCCATCTCTCCAGCCCCAGTCTTTCTTTTCTTGAGACAGGGTCTTACTCTCCAGCTCAGGCTGGCTTTGAACTTACTTTATTGCCTAGGATGGCCTCAAATTCATAGCAATCCTCCTACCTCAGCCTCCTGAGGGGGGGAAGGCTTTGTGATCCCTTGTTTCTTTCTTGTAACTTGTTTTCTGGTGCTGGGGACTAAACTCCAGGGCTGAACTGTGTTCTGCCACTGAACTACACCCCCACCCACTGCTTCAACTTTTTTTCGTAATATTAGGGTTTGAACTCAGCATCTTCTCCCTGAGCCATATCCCCAGCCCTTATTTTTTAATTTTGAGACAGGATCTCATTATGTTGCCCAGGCAACCCTCACACTTGTGGCCCTCCTGCCTTAACCTCCCCCCCCCCCAGTGCTGGGGTCATAGGAGTGTACCACCACACCCAGTTTAAGTCTTAAATCATGTCTCTCCTCTATGCACTCCCCTTTGCTCAATCAAATCAGACAGCTTCCCTCTCCTCCTTTGGGACAGCCACTTTCCTGGTACCCTCCCAGTGCGCCTTTCTTTCCTTCGGGTGGCAGCATGTCATCATGTTAAGAGGTCACCCTAGCAACCATAATGAAACATCAAGCCCTCAGCAGCCCACCTCATACGCGAGGCCTGCTTGATTTCCTTAGCGTCTATCTCCACCTGACACACTCTACTTCTTTTGTGCCTATCACCCCCCCATGCCAGGTATAACCTAAGTTCCTGGAAGGTGGAGACTCACTGCATTCTGCACCAGCGGCGCCCCAGGCCCTGGAATCATTCCTGGCATAAGTAGACTGGTGATTGCTGCCAGAATGCACGAGGAAGGAAAGGGTAAGTCACAATGGCAGCCCTGTCAGGTTCAGCAGTGAAGCCAGCTAAAGAGGGCAAGAAAAGGCACTGTAGGCAACAGGAAAGCAAGGCCCTGGTTCCAGAGAATTTGATTTAAAGAACAGAGGGAAGGCTAGGGCTCTAGGATCTAGAAGTCGGGAGGCCAAAGGGTGGCCAGAGCTACACCATCCAGGGCCTAGACCAGTGATGGGGAAACCTTCCCAGCTTTCAGCGATACAAGCAGGCCACTGCAGCACATGCGTTGTAGATCTGCTACCACTGGGACACCAGACATTCACAAGACCAACTTCGCTCCTGAGCACCAGGGGAGCCACCAAAGTGTCCCAAGCAACAGCAGCATGACTTGGCCTGTGTTTTTAAAAAGTCACTGTGATAAATGGGTCACAGGGGGCAAGAGCCAGAGCAAGACGTGGACACCAGAGCTATTGTGACCACTCACAAAGAGATGGTGGGACCTGGATGTGGCAGGGACGGAGGAGACACACATGAGCATAACAGTGGGCTGCGAAGCCAGGGTTTCTTCATGCTCCATGGAACCCTCTTACCCACACGGGCTGGGAGACGCCCTCCACGATCTTCCGGCAGAAGAAGCCCGGATCAGCCTGGCGCTTCTCCTCGCCCCAGCGGATCATGTCACTCCGATGAGCCTCTTTGTAACTGCTGGCATCCAGGAGTCTCTCGAAGTTCAAGCCATGCTCCTGCACAAAGCACATCGCATCTACACCACCAGCCTCTCGGCCTGGACAGATCGGCCCTGCCTCCCCTCCCCAGGCTGGCACAGGGAGAGTGAGGAGCAGGCAAGTGAGTGTCCACCTGGCCAGAGCTCCAAAAAGGAAGAAACCCCAGGCCTCCAAAACAAAGTGAAGGAAGGTCTCCAGATAACCCAGAAATTCTTTCTGTGTGCCTTTGAAATGTGTGCTGTGGTTTTCTCTTTTGTGAGTTTTACCTTCCCAATTACTTCTGGCTTAAACTAATCCCAAAATTGATTTGTGTCTCCTGTGCGCACAGTTAGCATTTAATTCAAGTGGGAAATTTGAAAAAGAAAAAAACCTGCGTTCTGCATTTTCCACTGTCCCTCTTGGCAATATCCACCTCCATCCCAAATCCTGACCTCCCCCAAGGGGAACTTCACCCTGGAGGCCCAGGCGTGGTGCGGGGTGGCTGGCTGCTCTGACCCGCTGGGAGCTGTTTCCAGGCTCCTCCCGACATGCCCCAGCTTCCAAGACACAGCCAAGCTCCCTCCAGAGGGTTCCAGGACAAAAGAAAAACCCAAAAACATCATCAGTTCCCTTCTACTGGCTGCAGCATGACCTCCCTGCCCAGATTCATGATCCCAGTTGCTGACCTGGATCTGAAGCAGGGTCAGCAGCCTGTGAGGCCAGTGAGCCCTGCTTGTCAGTTTTGTTTGCCATTGAAACTAAGAATGAGTGTGCTGACGTTCCATGCTGGAATTGTTTTAGTGTGAGGGGGAACAGAGTGTTGCTGAGCCTCCCAACCAGGGCAGGGTGGCCTAGCGGGGCCTCCTGGGGAGGGCTTAAAAATGCGAATACACGGCCAGGTGTGGTAGCACCCACACCTGTAATCCCAGCAGGAAGGCTGAGGCAGGATTATGGAAGGTCAGCCTGAACTTTCTAGTGAGAGGTACTGTCTCAAAAAAAAATTTTTTTAAAGCAAATGCAACCAGGTTGGGTTCACTCTGGGAGGCTGGGATTTGGAGGCTTGCACATTCAAGTCCAATTTAGCAACTCTGGCAGGACTGTGCTTCAAAATTACAAAAAAAAAAAAAAAAAAGAAAGAAAGAAAGAAAGTGTGTGTGTGTATGTGTGTGTGTGTGTGTGTTAGGTTTTTTGGCAGCGCAATATAAAGACAGAAAAGATAAAAAGCAGCCTTTATTAACTTCAGAGAAGATTGAGGGCAAATGGGGGCTCCGCTGACCTGAGACAAAGAACGCTGAGACTTCTATGGACTTTGGCTAGGGGTAGAGCTTGAGGGTTAGTTTCAACTACATGTAAGAAGCTGACTGGGGTCTCTCCTGTGTGCGCTGAAAAGGTGAGAGGAAATTGTATTCAGGACTGGGCCAGGGAGATGGCTCAGTGGAATAAGTGCTTCCCTGGCAAGCACAAGGGTCTGAGTTCAATCCCCGGTTCCGTGAAAAAAAAAAAAAAAAAAAAAATTGTATCCAGGACTGGGCTTGGGGGAGGGAGGAAGTGGTCACTGGGAAGATAAGGCTGTTGTTTTAAGGGCTTCAGCATGTTAGGTGACCACCATAATAATTTAGCAATTTATACTAGGGTAGAACCTACGCACCTACCTACCTATCTTATCTATCTACACGACACAGCTCAGTGTGAAGGCCTCATGTTCAATTTCCAGTAAGGAGGCAGGTGGCACAAAGGCAGATTCTTGTCTCCTGGGGCTGGGAGTTGACAGGCTCCGGTCCAGTACAAACTGCTACATTGTCATGGCCCTGATCCAACAGGGATGAATCCCAAAACAACAGCTTATCTTCCCAATGAGCGCGTCCTCCTGTCCTCCTCCTTCCCCACTCCAGCCCTGGATACAACTTCCTTTTACCTTTCCTGCCCACACAAGGGAGCCTCCAATCAGCTCCTGTGAGTCACTGGACCTGCCACTCAAACTCTGCCCCTAGCAAAGGTCCATAAAGTCACAGGCTCCCTGTCTCGGGTCAGAGGATCCTCCATCTCCCTGCCCTCAATCCTCTCTGTGTCTTCAGAGTTCATAAAGGCTCCCCACCCCTTTATTGCTGCTTCTCTGCCACACCACTGCCAATAAAACCTACTAGGAGTGTAGCTCAATAGTTAAAGGTGTTCTGTTTCTTAAGACAAGGTCCACTATATAGTTCAGTCTGGCCTTGAACTCACTATGTAGCCCAGGTTGGCCTCAAACTCAGTGATCCTCCTGCCTCAGCCAGGCATGCACCACCACAGCTGGCCAGTAGTTGGGCATTTATCTAGTTTTTGTTTGTCTGTTTGTTTTTTGAGGAACCGGGGATTGAACTCAGGCCCTTGTGCTTGCCAAGGAAGCGCTTACTCCACTGAGCCATCTCCCCGGCCCCTTTTTAAAATTATTTTTTGTTTGTTTGTTTGTTTGTTTGTTTTCATTTATCTAGTTTTTGTGAGACTCTGGCTTCAGTCCCCAGCACCAAAAAACAAGAACAGAAACTTCCTGACCTTTCCTGCCCCACCAGGGGCTAGCTCACCAGCCCGATTACCTGTCTGGCTCAGCAGGCCTGGGGTGGGCCTGACTTGGGAAGTAGACTGGTGCTTCGGAAGCCACCCCTCAGGTCTTACACGGGAAGGCTGAGCGCCTCCCCTTTACCTTCCTTCCTCCTCCCCCAGCTAGCACCAATCACACCCCACCCCGCACCCACCCCCGACACCCCATCTCCTGGATACAGGAAACTTCTGCATCCAACTTTATTTGGGAAAGAGTCTGCCTTAAAACTGTGAAAGCACTAAATATCCCACAATCCCTTTAATATAGACAGCTAAATCAGGTAAAAATATTATAGACAGTCAAGACAGGGATAGGCCCCCAAGGCGGTCAGTACAGACGATGAGAATGAACTGCAAAAGAGGCTAAGCCAGGGATGGTGGGGCACAGGTGGAATCAGGAGGCTGAGGCAGGATGAGGGCCAGGCTGAGGCCAGCCTGGGCTACACAGTGAGAACTTATCTCAAAATGAGGAAAAAGAAAGAAAAACATGTGGCTACAGGCGCATCCACTGAAAGCCAGGCCTCAAGATAAAGACAGAATGACCAGGCCTCCAGGCCTCACCAATGGATAAGCAATATAATTGGTATCATCTGGTCCAATAAAGTCAAGATAGACATCAGTCACCCAGGTGGTGGGTGACCAGGACTTATCACTTCCAAAGAAAACATGCTTGTTCTTTCCGTGCACACTTGCTACGTGACTTGCTTCCCTGTTAGATTAACATTACCCAAGTGCCTATAATTCCCCCCTCTCCCTGTGATATCAGGGATCAAACTTAGGACCTTGCACTTGCCAGGCAGGCACTTATGCTGCTGAACTATCTCCTAAGTGCCTGTAATTGTAATCCTAGATTTGTTTCTTTGTTTTTGTTTTTGTTTTTTTTTTTTTTTGCGGAACCAGGGGTTGAACTCAGGCCCTTGTGCTTGCCACGGAAGCGCTTATTCTACTGAGCCATCTCCCTGACCCCCAATAATCCTAGTTTTGTCTCTTATACCCACCTCATGATTTTGCTCTAAAAATTTCCTTTAAAAAGTAGGTTCATAGGGGCTGGTGAGATGGCTCAGTGGTCTAAAGCACCTTAGAACAAGCTTAGCAAAGCACAGGGACCGCGGTTCAATCCCCCAGCACCACATGCCAGCCAGCCCCGCCCCCTGGTGGGCTGAGCTGGCCACACACACACACACACACACACACACACACACACAAATAAATAAAATTTAAAAAAAAAAAAAAAGTAGGTTCATAAAAAAAAAAAAAAAAAAGTAGGCTCATTGACAACCCAGTCAGGCCCCCTCCTGTCTTCCCTAGAAGCTGTCTCTTCCTCAATAAAATGTCCTGGGGGCTGGAGAGATAGCTCAGTAGAATAAGCACCTGCCTAGCAAGTGCAGGGTTCTGAGTTCAATCCCCAGTACCGCAAAAAAATAATAAAATAAAATAAAATTAGCTAGTTGGAAAAAAAATAAATAAATAAAATAAAATGTCCTACTCTTATCCTCCACTGTTCCTTCAAATTCTTTGGTTTTGGGAATCACAGACTCAGCACAGTGGACATCTAGCAGGTTGGGAGACATAATGAGGTCCTCGGATCATTTGGAGTGCCCTACAAGGTACCTGGGAGGAGCTCAGAGGTTGCTTTTATTTCACAGATTCTGGATTGTGATTCATTTAGGTCATCAAACACAGCCATCCTTGTTTGTCCTTTGCTTATGCCTTAAACTTTATGCCTTGTCTTTTAGGCACTGTTTTTGTCAAAATGATTGTAAACTTAGGTTAAGAACATGGAAAGATTATATTTCATGATAAGACCTTTTACTTTTGCAGGCAAAATCCTCTTTTGTCTATGCAGCGTTCAGTCTTCCTGGTTGCTGAATTTGTCAGTGTTCCTTGCCTGACCTATTGGACTTGTTGGACAACAGTGCTAGGGAAAGGTGATGTTAGAGCACCGCCTAGTGGATGTTGATGTGAAATGCTGTAAAATGGGTCTTTTATGAAATCTAGTTTATATTTAGAAAATATACATGCCTACTAATATATCATGGGACTCCACCTGCCAGTTAAAAGGCAATAGGTGGCCAGCCATTCGTAAGACTTAGAGGACAGGTTTCACTGGGACAATCTGGCCCAGTCCCCGCTACACTGTAGAAAGCCTGTTGAGCCTGTTCCGCCTCCATTTTCTTTCCAGTGAGGAGGGATTCCCCATTCTCACCTTTCCATGCTAAGGGTGATGATTCCTGGGCAAGTGGTCTTAATAATGATGATTGTGAGAAGAAAATATTTCCTTTTTCTGATCTTATTTCTGCTCTTCTTTTATTTATTTATTTATTTATTTATTTATTTTTATTTCTGCTCTTCTCCCATCACTGTGCACTTTCCATTTTTGGAGGCATGTTTCTGCTAAAGACTAGAGGGAAGAGGGACAACCTGCTTGGGCCTCCTTCTTGTCTCTCTCTCAGACAGAAGCT